CTCTCTCTCTCTCTCTCTCTCTCTCTCTCTCTCGCTCTCTTCGTCGAAAAGTCTACCGGGAAGGGGGAGGAAGGGCGCAGTAGTGCTATATATTCCGTGACAAGTTTTCTGGTGATTCCACACGACTGGAAAAGGGGCGGCTAAAGTTGTCAAAGCGGTTTAAAAATAAACTTGCGCGCACTCCCTGTCGCCGCCAAAGACTGGCGCCCCCTCTCCTCCCCCCCCCTCCCTTTCCCTCACCTGGGCCGCCCCTCGTCGCCGCGTTGTGCTGGAAATTAAGTTCGGCCCTTCGCGGGGACGCGGAATCTGAGCAAGGCACCCCGCCACGCCGCGCCACGCCGCGCCACGCCCCGCCACGCCCCGCCACGCCCCGCCTCGCTGAAAGCGAAAAGAAGCGACGCGACTTTTAGGCTTCGGGTACCTTGCGGTTTCCCGCCACTGCCCCCCCCCCTCCCCCCGCCGATCCCTCTGCTCTTTGTCCTGTCACACTGCAAGGTACCTCCAGTGTACCGCCCTTGGTCCGTTCCGGTTACCGCCGGCCCGGTCGCCGGCTCTTCTTTTCCCTCCGAGGCTTTTATTTTGATTATTTTCGGGAGTGTCCCTGCTACGCCATGGCTACGCCCATGCTCGATGCCAACGCTACTGAGGCCCATCGGGCCCATCGTGCCCAGCGCCGAGAAGCCGGTTCCTCGTCAGCCCCGCCACCCGAAAAAGCCCTCTTTCCCTCTGTCTCTATACTCTCGCCTGATGCGACTGCGATCCCTTTGTGAACTTGGAGATTGTATCTGGGTTTGTTTTCTAACAAGAGTTGTCGGAGTAATACGCCGGCCATCTCGCTGCCCCATCTCCGAAGTATTTCACTTTTATTTGTTGTATATAGGCACATTGACATGTCTACGACCTGGCCTTCGAAACGCATAATGCAGTCACCAGCGTTATTTTTGTTCAATTTTTTTTTGCCAAGTCTTTGGATTGCTTTGGCCTTAAGCAGTCCGTCCGCCGGCGCGCCCGCGCCCCAAAGGCCTTGTCCTTGTCGCACACACTGCAACTGCGAGCCCACCGCTGGGCAGTCGCTGGGGCTCTCAATTTATCTACAATCGACGAAATACTTTGAATAAAGAAATAAATAAATAAAATGAAAAACAAAATGACGCCTCCTAGGCTGCTGCGACTCAATTTCTCATACCGACCGCCGCACCTAATCCCTCCCCTAATGCCCGCTTCGAGTCTCTTTGGCACGCAAGCCCTCTGCGTCGTCGTCATCGTCGTTGTTGTTGTTTTATGTTGTTATTTTTGTTGTTGTCGTTGCGTTCCCGCTGTCACCGCCTTCCACATCGCGACGCGCGGGAAAAGAAGCTGCCAGTGAACCGAGTGGCGCGCCGCTCCAAACCCGCGCTTTTTTGTTGTTGTTGTTGTTGTTGTTGTTGTTGTTGTCGTCGTCGTTGTCGTTTGTTATTGTTTCTGGTCGCTCGTCTCGTTTGCAGCCGCGGGCCGTTGCGATGACCACACGTAACAGACGAACGCACCCAGTGTAGGCACGCGAGCATCATGGCCAAGGATGACAAGTTGCACGGTGTCTGTTCTGCGAATAAAGCGAGTGTGACTGCGAATAATGTCCCTCTCTCACTCCTGATAAAGCGTGTCCATAAAGAGCGAGGCTGACTGTGCGAATAACGAGGCGCTGTGCGTGTGTTGCGCGTTCCTTGTAATTATTGTCAAGCCGTCAAAAAGAAAAAGAAAAAGAAAAAGAGGTTGTTTTTCGACTGTTTTTCCTTTTCATAGATCTCTGCTGCGCAGGGATGAGCCATGGTACCCATCTCTGTCGGCCCTGGCGTCACTGTGTGTGTGTGTGTGTGTGTCCGTCCGTCCGTCCGTCCGTCCGTCCGTCCGTCCGTCCGTCCGTCCGTCCGTCCGTCACCTCTCACGCCCAGCACCTTATGTGGGACTTGATGACTGTTGGTGATGATGCTGCTTGCTTGCTGGCGACTCCCCCGAGTACTACTCTAGTCCGTTTAATTACAGCTAGTGTGTGTGTGTGTGAGAGAGCTTTAATTCGTGCGTATAACCGCCATATTGTGGCTTACATGGCCGGTGGAGGCGGCCAAAACTCTAGACGCGTTTCGAGCTCCAGAGTCGCTATGACTCGAACCGAACGTGTGACCCCACCAATGGATTCTTCGTTCGGAGAGCAATCCATTGGTGGGGTCACACGTTCGGTTCCAGTCCCATTTGGCGGCTCTGGAGCTCAAAACGCGTCCGGGACTGCGGCCGCTTCCACCGGTCTTCTGGCCCACTGTGAAAGTCTGGACTCCGGGGCCGAAGCAGCAGCGACGCCACTACTAAAGGTTTGAAACACGGCTTGTGCATTTACGTCGGGGCCACGACACTGGAAGCGAGGTGTGTCGTCTCGGCCCTGATTGAGGGCGGGGAGGCCGCGGGGTTATACGGCTACCCGTCTGTTCGAATCCTGTCTCCGTTTTACGCCGCCGCTCGAGCGATTCAGAAGAGGCGTTTCATCCCTCTGTCTCTGTCGCTCTCATGGAGCTCTCCGAAAGGGTGCGAGAGAGACAGAGCGACACGCCGCCGTTCTGAATCGCTCGCCGGGGCACCTACTTACGTGCAGTGTGCCGCCTCAGCACGCATAGCGCGGCAGGCCGGTCGCGGGTTCGACTACCGCGGCCGGCCAGCAAGGTTTACGGTCCCTCTTTTTCCGACCGGTAGTATCGCGACACTTCATCTACACTACAAGCTGCTGCATTTGTCTGACTTGGCAGTTTATGCGTCTGCCTCGGCCGCCCTGGGGGGGGGGGGAGGGGCTGTGGCTATGCGAGCGACGCCCGCTGTCCCGGCGCGGCGCGGGTACCTTCGGGTACCTTCGGGTACCTTCGGGTACCTTCGGGTACCTCCGGCCGCCTTCGGGTGCGTCGGGCCCACTGCGTCACCCCAGCGCCGCGTCGCAGTCCTGCCGAGCGATTCAGAAGAGTCCTCGCGTCGCTCTGTCTCTGTCGCACCCACGGAGCTCTCCATAAGGGTGCGACGGACACAGAGCGACGAACCGGCTGGCCCCGCCGCCGGTACGGGTCGGCAACCGAGCTGAGCCGAGCTGAGCCAAGCCGGGCTGAGCCGAGCCCTGCCGGCCCCAGGGCCTCAAGGCCGAGCCGAGCCGGGCGGCGGCTTGGCGGCAGCGCGCGCTTCTGTGGAGGCAGGACACTTTATGGATGTATGTTTTACACAATCTAAGTCTGAGGGACGCGCCGCCGGCCGCGGGGCGGAGCGGAGCACAGCGCAGTGCTGTATGATGGATGCGGCATTACTTTTTCACTGTCTGTCTGTCTGTCTGTCTGTCTGTCTGTCTGTCTGTCTGTCTGTCTGTCTGTCTGTCTGTCTGTCTGTCCGCCCCGCCCGCCCGTCTGCGCCCTGCGCGGTACTCCAGACTTATCGGTGGCTGCCCCTCCACTAACTTGACCTCCCCCCGGCCGGCTGGCGGCGGCTCCGGCCCGGCGCTCACCCGCGCCCCCAAAACTGCACCGCGGCCCCCGCTGCCCCTGGCGGCCCTGGAGGCCCTACACCGCATAATCAGGCCGGCCGTTTGCATAAACCTGGAAATTAGTCTATCGCGGGTGAATCTGGTGCAGCGGGCCGAGTCGGGGTCCTTCGGGGTCCTTGGGGGCCCCTCCAGGGTGTCGGGGAAGGGCGCAGTGGCGCAGCGGGCGCAGCCATGGCGGCGCTCCAGCGGGCCGGGGTCCTGGAGGCCTGGGAAAGAGAGGCGCTCTCCTCTCCCTCTCCTCTCTCTCTCTCTCTCTCTCTCTCTCTCTCTCTCTCTCTCTCTCTCTTGTGTGTGTGTTGCCGCATGGCGGTGCGGTATGGAGCACGGCGTGGTACTATACCCCCTTCGCTTTCATGATTGACGTGAAGAGAACTCACTTGACCTTGTCCGGGTAAGCAAAAAGAGGGGGGGGGGAGCACCCGCTGCCTAGCTGCCGCGCTGCCCCACACAGGGCGGCTTATCTCATATCCAAAGGCGAAGAGCCCGAAGGCCCGAAGGGTGCTCCACACAGGTGGCCTCCCCCACCTGGCGGCCTGGCACACTGGCGGGGCCATTCAATTTTCCGCTCATAAAATATTCGCCTTGTTTGGAGACACGCCCCGCACGGGGTACCGCGTGCATGCTTGGACGTGCCTAATTCGGCATCGACCGTCTCTCTCTCTCTCTCTCTCTCTCTCTTTTCTAGTGCAGGCCGTGCATTTTTCCGGCTGCGCTGCACCTGTGTGCGCTTCTTTCATTTTGTTCATTTTGTCGGCTTGATAACGCGGCGGCCGGCCGTCCCTCTCGCACTTTTAGGGACGCCCCGCGAGTGCGACAGAGACGGAGCGATCGGACGGAATGAGCCTGCAGTGCTTCTGAGAACGCGTGCGCGGCTACCAGTGTACCGGTCGGCGTGCAGGTCGTGCAGGTGCAGCCGTCGACACACCCCCCGCCGAGCCCCCGCCAACCCGCCCCGCTCAATTTGTGCCTGACGCACGTCCAGCGGGTCGATTCCGAACGGCGGTCTGTCTCTCTCGCACTCACGGGCCGACCCGTATGGGAAAGTGCGACAGAGACACCGTCTGGAAGCGGACCCAGGACACAATGTCGCTCTGAAATCCCTCTCGCCGCGTCTCATCTCGCCCTGGCGCCTTTCCTGGAAGCGGGGACGGCGGACCCAAATCCTGTATTTCGGGACCGCGGGCGCGGCGGGCTTAGCGCGACGACAGTCGATGGGTCATGGCCGCGTTCTGCAGAGACCGTTCACCCCTAAATTCTTGCCAATATCCGGCTGCGGGGAAAATTGCACCAGATCGGCTAAAAAATTCCACTGTCTGTAACGGTTCTGTGGCGCGTGAATTTTTAATACGTCGTACAGTGCAAAAAAATATTTTTTTGCGTCTAAAATTTTTTACTTTTATTTTTTTGAAGTTTTTGATTTGTTTTCAACAATTGAATATGATTTGTGTTGCAGACGATGCTGCTGGTGGCGCTGCTGCTGCTGACGGCGCAGCGCTGGGGCGCGCTGGCGGGCAGCTGCCGGGAGTCGAAGCTGTGCTGCCCGGGCAGGGACTCGTCGTGCGTGGTGCAGAAGGCCCCCATCAACGCCATCATCGAGGACCTCAGCGACAAGCCCTGCTACTGCGACCACGCCTGCCTCAAGCTGGGCGACTGCTGCGGCGACTTCAAGGACGCCTGCGGAGGTGAGTCCTGGAAAAGGCGACGGAAAATCAAAGTAAAAATAAGAAGCGGGCGTAACGATTCGGCTCTCCAGAGATCGGACCTCTGCCGAGTCGGATTCCAGATGCGGATCTCTGGTGACTCCAGGCATGTGCCTCTGGAGACTCCAGGCATGTGCCTCTGGTGACTCCAGGCATGTGCCTCTGGAGACTCCAGGCATGTGCCTCTGGAGACTCCAGGCATGTGCCTCTGGAGACTCCAGGCATGTGCCTCTGGAGACTCCAGGCATGTGCCTCTGGAGACTCCAGGCATGTGCCTCTGGAGACTCCAGGCATGTGCCTCTGGAGACTCCAGGCATGTGCCTCTGGAGACTCTCTGGATTCTACCTCTGGAGACTCCCAGAGGAACTTTGAAGACTCCAGCTCCAGAGAGCGGACCACTGGAGACTCCAGGAGGTACTCCAGATTGGGGGCCGCGCCCCGCTTGGGGGCTTTGTGTGCACACTGTGCGCAGTGTACGCCGGATTTACATATGTTCGAATAGGCGGCGCGTGTGTGAGTCGCCTCAACAAATTGTTGACATTAATACTCTTTTCACCGCACGCTGGGCGTAAGGGGGGAGGGGGCTGGAGTTTGTGTGAGGTTCAAGCAGTGTGCGTCGGTAATCTGATTATAATAGCACTCCATCACATTTCTCTTCTTCCTTATAAATCTCGGTGAGCGCTGCTGCCGGGCCCGGCCAAGGCCCGGCGGCCCTCCGGTTCGCCACCGACGACTACGCGCTCCCTTGAAGGGCTCTCTGCCCGGCAGCGAGGGGACGCGAAGGGCCGCCTGGGGAGGGGGAGGCGAAGGGCTCACCTCGTCTCTCTCGCACCCTCACAGAGGGCCCCATGAGTGCGAGAGAGACGGAGTGACTCTTGGGGATCGCTTGTGCGGCTGGAGGTCCTGGAGGGCACAGATTGGCCACACGATGCCTGTCTCTGGCTGATTTCGAACCGCGGTTTTGTCGCCCTGTCTCTCTCGCACTCATGGGGCGGCCCGTAGAGGTGCGAGAGAGACAGCGACGAACCGCTCTGCTGGAGGAGTTCCACGGTATCACACCGATACCGACTGGACTGACTGACTGTCAGGTAGGCCAACAGACAGACAGACAGACAGACAGACGTGACGTAATCGGCGTGCATCTCGTGAATGGGATGTCTGCCGCGCGTCCGGTGCTCTCGCTCTCCAGGCCTCCAGGGCCTCCAGGGCCTCCAGGGCCTCCAGGGCCTCCAGGGCCTCCAGGGCCTCCAGGGCCTCCAGGGCCTCCAGGGCCTCCAGGGTCCACGAAGATGATCGTCTCCGCCGTCCGTCGATCGGACTGGATTATGAAGGGACCGTCCAGTCCGTCCGGCCCTGGCCGGCCCAGCACGTCAACAGATGAAAAGGACGCAGGGCTGCGGCGCGTCGTGGCGGTCTCTGCCGCAGTGGTGGGTCCAGAGGCGAACTTTGGGAGAGACGGGCAGTAGCAACTTACAGCGGCAAAGTATGGCTTTTTGCCTACCTTTCAGGTGGTTATCTATGTGCTAGGGGGGGGGGGGGCACCCCTCCTCCTTCTCTCCCCGTTCTTCCTCTCCTTCCCTCTGCGTCCCCTCTCCGTCCCCTCCCCCTCCCCCGCGCCTGCAGTGTCGTGGCCGAGCGACCGAGACCGAACGGCTCGGCAGGGAAGGCTTTGTTTTCGTTTTGCGCCTGAAGATGGCGCCCGTGTCGCACGGGGCGTGGCGGCGTGGCGAAGGGACGGCCGTTCACCTGCCGTCGGCTGTCTCTCTCGCACCGATACGGGCCATCCCATGAGTGCGAGAGAGAGGGAGAGAGAGAGAGAGAGAGAGAGAGAGAGAGAGAGAGAGAGAGAGAGAGAGAGAGAGAGAGAAAGAGAGAGAGAGAGAGTTTAGTTTTTTTTTAAGTTTTTAAAATGATTTGCAGCGGGCGCGCCGATGGGACTTCTTACAGTGCAGGTGCAGTTGCAGCAGCCACTCCGCCCTGCAGAGCGGGACATGTCCCAGTGAAAGGCGTCCGATTTTTCCTCCTGCATCCGTCCGTTGGGACGACGCTTCCCCAGCGCGCGGGGCCGCGGGGGTCCGCTCCGCCGCCATGCATTTGTAAGGTTTTCTGGTCGAGTTTTCCCTTGGCTGTGCGCTGCGCTGCGCCGGATGCACTCGAGATACAGGCAGCCCTGGCGTTGCCCTGGCGATGGCGGGGCCGGTTCCAGGGGATGGGCCAAACCAGGCCTTTGCCTTTGCCGTCCCCGTGGCCCTTGGAATGCCAGAAGACTGATTCTCAGAGAGACGTTTTTGTCGCTCTGTCTCTCTCGTACTCATGCGCGCTCCATCCAAGTGCGAGAGAGACGGAGCGACGAAAACTACTCTCGGAATCAGTCTGGCCCAGGAAGCGGGCCCTTGTGGTCGCTCTGGCCGCCCCGCCCCGCCCCGCCCCGCCCCGCCCGGTCACCACTCGCACATTCGGCCCTTCTCTTTTTAGGGGACTTTATTTCGGGAAGAACACACAGCACTGCGCCGCCTTGGAACACTCCGTTTCTCCTCCAAGTGTCTTCATTTTGACGTCATCAAATTGCCGAACCGGCACTTTTTCTCGCTGGGAATCGAGTCATGGAACACACAAATCAGGATTCAGCCGGTGTGTGTGTACTTTCGTTCTTTCGCAAACCTTTACCTCTCTCTTTCGCTCTCGCGCCCCCGGAAACGTAATCCATTAATTCTCGAATGCCCGCCAAAACATGTAGAGTGAGGAAAGTATGAAAAATTGAGGGCGGCATACATAATCCATGCGCACTCGGTCCGTGAATGGAAATGGGAACGTGGAGAGGACGGCGTATGAATGAGTGTCTGCAGTGTAGGCGGCAGGTAACACCTCGTGCAGCTAAGTACCTGTCGGTGTGGTACCTGTGAGCAGGAATCCCCCCTCCAAGAGGCAGGGCAGTGCACTGTGTCTCCGCCGGCCTGCGTTGCCCTGCGGTTTCCGTGCCTTACTGTTTTATTTGCTGAAATGGAGCTGCTCCGAGGCCTCGGCTCGGCCGGCCCGCCGTGCTCGGCTCGTCGCGTCGCGTGGTGCTGATGAGGGTTGGTGCCGGACAGCGCTTCGTCGCTCTGTCTCTCTCGCACCTTAAGGGACCGCCCCACGAGTGCGAGAGAGACAGCCAAGTGACTGCTCGGAATCAGCCTGCTGGCCGACCGGCCGGAACGGCAGGCACGGCGACGCGGGTCCCGGAGGTCCTGGAGGAAGGCCAGGAGGTCCTGGAGGAAGTCCTGGAGGTCCTGGAGGAAGTCTTGGAGGTCCTGGAGGAAGTCCTGGAGGTCCTGGAGGAAGTCTTGGAGGTCCTGGAGGAAGTCTTGGAGGTCCTGGGGAAGTCCTGGAGGTCCTGGAGGAAGTCCTGGAGGTCCTGGAGGAAGTCCTGGAGGTCCTGGAGGAAGTCTTGGAGGACCTGGGGGAACTCTTGGAGGTCCTGGGGTAAGTCCTGGAGGTCCTGGAGGAAGTCCTGGAGGTCCTGGAGGAAGTCCTGGAGGTCCTGGAGGAAGTCCTGGAGGTCCTGGAGGAAGTCCTGGAGGTCCTGGAGGAAGTCCTGGAGGTCCTGGAGGAAGTCCTGGAGGTCCTGGAGGAAGTCCTGGAGTGGCCGGGAGGTACAGGGGTCGGTTTTGGTGTCCTGGAGCAAGGCCTGGCGGTCCTTGAGCAAACCCTGGATGTCCTGGAGGAGGGCTTCGTGGTCCTGGACAAAGGCCTGGAGGTCGTGGTGGTAACCCTCAAGGTCCTGTAGCTGCCCCGGAGGCACGCATGCACAGCGTGGTGGCCCACTGGTGGGCACTCTGTTACCGGGATGAAGCCTCTCCTTCATTGTCAGCCGGCGGGCCGCGCCGCGCACTTGTCCCGCCCGTATGTTTTCCATGCCGTGACGCGGAGACCAACGACTCGCGGCTTACGGTGCCCGAGCCGCGGAACCGCTGCGGGGAGGGGAATAGAAAGGGGCGGGAAAAACTGGAGGGCTCTGGAGAAGAAATCAGTTTGGCTCATTTTGTACGCCGGGCCGGCGGCGGAGCGGCAGCGACGGCGGTTAGGAAATTTGGCACTTTTCCCTGGCGTCGGAATTCGCAGCCCCGTGCGCGCAGCCACGGCGAGGCCCGCCGCCGCCCACCGCCCCCGCCCGCGGTCGCGGAGTGGCCGGATATCGGCTGCAGACTGATTCCGAGAGTCGTTTTCGTCGCTCTGTCTCTCTCGCACCTAAACGGGACGCCCCTTGAGAGCGAGAGAGACAGGGCGACGAAACGGACTCTCGGAATCATTCTGCCGGCGCGGTCCAGGGCCGCCCATTTCGGCCTCGATGCCTCGATACAGGAAGCATTTTACCTGTCACTCAAACTGGAGTAAGAGCTGGTGACTGCTAAACTCTCTACGCACGAAATTAATGGCGTACTGAGAAAATCGGCGCAAGCAATGAAACGAATTAAAATTTGTCTGATGTGGCACCAATCTTTTTAGCAGATGATTTACCGTACTGGAGTCTGTTCCGAGGTCTGGACCGGAGTGGAGTTTGTGCTGGAGTCCGTTCTAAGGTCCGGAGTGGAGTCTATGCTGGAGTCTGTTCTGGGGCCCGTGCTGGAGTCTCCGGTTGTCCCCGCTGTTGTGGTGGTGCTATGGCATTCTCGCCCCCTCTGCTGGAATTCTCCAGCATCATATTTCCTGACGGCTTTGCGGTCAGACGATGGCCGGCCGGCATGCGGGGCTGTTGGTCCGTGCCGCTCGGCCCGCGCGGCGCGCTCCCTGGGGCAACCCCTTTTTTCGAGACCGCGCAGCGCTGGAAAGCACTGGAAGGCACTGGAAGGGCGTTGTAGCCACCGCTATCCGCTGCCCCGGACTCATTCCGAGAGTCTTCGCTCTGTCTCTCTCGCACCTACACGGGACGCCCCATGAGTGCGAGAGAGACAGAGCGACGACTTTGGGAATCGGTCTGCTGCTGCTTGCTACTGCCGCTACAC